TAATTTGATAATTAACATTATCCAATATTTTAAGGGGGGTTGTTAATGTAAAGTTAACATTTGTTTACTGTATGAAATTAATCCAAACGGATAATGTTATAAAGAATTGTTTTTCAGTTTCACATTCTATTAACTACATAATACAATCAGAAAATTGTAAAAACAAGCAATTAATACCATTGCCAGAATGGGTCCATTCCATAAAGCACTGTGTGTTTCTTAGTTTAAAAGTTTTCACAGAAAAGTGGGGAATGAACGAACAAATCATAGGCAAACTACACCGTATTTTCCCAAATTTATTTTGTGCTAACTCTCAATAAAACTTTCTTTTCATGTTATTGTTATCAGGTGTTGTCACTCACAATCACACTGCCATGTTTACCAGTTAAAACTCCTTATCCTTCTTTACTGCCCATCAATTCCTACTATGTCTTAAATATCCCGCTGAAGTCCTTTCCCCTCCAGTGAATCTTCTCTCCAACACTCAGCCTATAGCAAACTCTTTCCTCTGAACTCTCTTACTGGTGGTAACACTCATCACACATTTAACATTCTTTGAAGTTTGATATAATTGGCAAAATTTCCTTTGCATGCATTTGACCATTCTGGTCAGATTGATTATAAAGGTAGAAAGAACCACAGAGATGTGTCAATTCAACTCTGTTGTATGAAAGTGGAAACTGAGGACTACTCAGAGGGAGTAAGCAAAGGGCCCAGGTTCACAGCTTTACACAGCAGGAACTAAAACCTCTCTTGTTCCCCAGTGTTTCCACATCATTACTGCATAGCTAGAGTATGGGTCTTCACACTTCTTTGTGTTCACATCAAAGCTAAGCATTGTGCCTTGTATATAATACATTTTTGGGGTATTTTTGTGGTTGATTTGTTGTAAACTTGATATAAAACATACATCCCACTACAGATTTTAAGAATATTTGCTCAGTGACTTGATAAATACTTGTGCTAATGTGCTTTCATATGGTGAACGCATTTTTTTCAAGGCTGTTTGGCATCCATCTATTCATATATTTTGACAATCTCACCACAACTGACTCATTTGGCAAAATAAGTTCTGTGCTGATACAAATAGAAAAAAGGTCAGGAAACTTAGAGAATTCAGATAATTTACAGTTTTTAAAGACATATCTTACCCCATGCCTTTTTCTCTCTCTGACCTACCCAACAAAAACAGTGGGTGATACATGTATATATACATATATGTATATATACTCTCTACTTACATCTGTACACAGATTGAAGCATACAAAAGAACCTGGAGCTTACGGGAGGTATGGTGAAGGGGGAGGGATACTGGCAAAGAAGCATTCACTATTGTACAGTAAGGTCATTTACTTGAATATGTATCCAGAAAAAGGTGTTTCCTTTTAAATATTCACAAGATGTTTTGACGTTTTGAGCCAAAAAGGGAGACGTTTAACTGATACTGGGCTAGAGCCAGGGCCTCTACCCTCACACCTGCCCTTCGCCCTCCACTGATTTTAAGTCCTTTCAGTAAAGCACAACAGAGGAGAGTATTGTGTCCAAGTGCTTGAAACAAAAGTGCCCAAATTCCCACTGTTCGCTACCACCTTTAGTGAAAATCAAACTTCATCAAGTCTAGGCACTCGCAGTTTGCCTCCTCCTGAGGCACTTTTTCCTACCACGAGTCCTAATGTCAAGTCTTTGGCAAAAGTTGCATAGGAGAGTCAGGAACTCAAGCAGGTACTGAGGTTGGACCTTAAACCCTACAGCTACCAATGAAAGGCTTGAGGTATCCGCCATCACCAGGAGCAGGGGAGAAATGTGCACAGGAGATGGCATAAGTTTGACAAAATGTCGTTTAAGTGCCTTAAAATTGTTAGAAAGAAAACGACTCTGCTTATACGGCCCATTTTCCCTCCACTGGCCTCAGTTGGGTCCTTTCCCCCACAGCTAATTCATCTCGGTGCACCGCCCATACCACCGGGCCTTGAAGCATCACCTCTCAGTCTATACGCAGCGTCTCCTTCCATGTCAGTACTGGGTAGAGACTTCTCACTGGGGTTTCCCATTTCTTTTCCCACTGTGCACAAGTAACAGTTGGGATTGCCTCCGTGTTAATAGAAAATCACCCATAAAAACCAGGAAGACTTGGCAGAAGTATTCTGGATATTGATTCTTTCTTCCATAGTCAGTCTCCACAGTGCCCTACTTTCCAGGATGTGCTTTGATTTCCTGAATCTATTTAGTTATGACTTGTCTGTCCTTATTTTTTACGATAAAGTTCCTAAGTCTTTGAGTTATTCCTACTCTCTGGGTTACACAGTAATAGTAATAAAAATAACAGGGATAGTAATTAACATTTTTTGAGGACTTCCTTTGTGCTGGATATTGAGCTTTACATATATTTATATGTGTATTAACTCATTAACCTTGTATTGGTCTGGGTTCTCCAGGTATATACCTCCTGTGGATAAAATTGCAATATTTCCAGAGTCTCTTGCCTGGCCTTAGCCCATCTCCATGGCAATAGGTGTTTACAAAGTGTGGAGAGAAGTAGTCCATGTCCATATCAGGAGGTGCTTCCAAGGGGCGGGGTAAGAGGCAAACACTTCCTGGATTGGAGAGGGATTTTCTGGCTCTTCCGAGCCAGGAATGGGGGAGAAACAGGCAAGTGAGAGCGGCAGCCAGAGAGCGAACAGAGCCAGGCTTCTTGTAAGCGATGAACGGGTTTCTCCCACTTTATTTTTCCCTTTGTCTGATTTCAGCTTCAAAGGTTTATTTGCCCTGGGCTGGAAACACATATCCCCCTGGGATTTATACCTCCTATCTGTTCTGCTTCATAGTATGAGAGGGCCACTTGGCTATGAATGCCAGAAAGTTCCATAATTTGCTCTCTGCAAACTAGAAACCAGGAAAACCCATGGTGTGATTCAGTTCCAGTCTAAAGGCCTGAGCAACAGGGGAGTTGGCAGTGCAAATCCCAGTCCAAGGGCAGGAGAAGATGACATGTAATATCTCAACTAAAGCAGGAGGGCAGGAAAAAAGGGATGGTTTCCTCCTTCCTCCACCTTTTATTCTGTTCAGATTGGATTTGATAATGGCCACACACACTTTGAGGAAGGCAATCTACTTTCCTGAATCCACCAATTCAAATGTATTTTCATACAGAAATGGCCCCACAGGTCCACACAGAAAAAATTTTTAATCTTGGTATGTTCTGGCCAGTCAAGCTGACACATAAAACTAACCATCACAATTATCATAGATCATTGAGATAGATATATTATTGTTCCCACTTTGGGTCTCTTGGTGTTAGTAGAGGTAAATATTACAGAGTGCTGAAATAGTACAACTGTGATCTTGTTGAAGCTTCTTTGTCTTTGAGGTCCTGAGTAGTTGGAAGAGCTTGCCCAAAGTCACAACTTATACATGGGGAGATAGAATTCAAACCCAGTTTGGCTCTAGAAATTGTATTCTGAACTATGAGGCTTACCTGCCTCTCACAATGTGCATGCCATAAAAATACTAACAAAAATAAATAACAATATAGACACCCATTGATAAGACATGTACTTTGAGTTATTTTTCAATGAGTTTAATGGTTGCACTGAACTAAATCATTTACCTTCTCTCCCCTGGTTCCTCAGAATAGGAGCAACTTCATGAAGGGGGTTACCCGGAGCTAGAAGAACAGTCAGTAGCTATGGAGTATTAGGTTTTTTATGTTAAGTCTCTTGCAATTATTTATTAATAGCCTCTTTAGATATTTTGAATGTTTGTAGACTACTGTTTCAATCTGATGAATTACTTCTTCCTCACCTTAGAATACAGAAGAGAATTCACTCTTTACCTGCAAGTAGAAATGCTGACATTTAATTATAGGGAAAAAATGCAATCATGTTAATTTTCTTTCCCTTTGAAAGCTATCTCCTTCCTTTACTGTGGAGACAAATGATTATCAGAAAATGTTTCTTTTTGGGTGTGTGTGTGCATAATACTTCCTGTATTTAATATTTTATAAATTTGAAATATTCTGAATTTGTATGGCTTAGTAGTTCTTAGGGTAGTGTTTATCTTTTCTGTTTGTTTTTCTGAGAGCATTTAAGAAGAAGGAAATACTTTAACTCTCATTTATTGTGTTGTAGTAGTTCCTAAGCATTCAGATTTATTCTTTAGAAGCTATTAGTGTGAAGTTGGAAGTCTTATTATTTCAGGGACATTTTAAAGCTTTCCTTTTTCTCTCCAGGCACCTCCTAAAGCTTCCAGAGTTAACTTTAACAGTGCATACCTGAAATTCAGTGAAAATCATTTGACTAGAAAACCAAAGTCAATTTAACGATCAAGTATTTGTGTGTATATGTTCACTCCCACTAATTTATCTGGAAATTTTCAGTGCAACAATAATCTGAATAAGCACTTTTCCAGAGTCACAAATTTATTAATTTAAATATTTAACATCCGAAAAAAATATATATAGTTGACAAACATTTCCTTGCTTTAAAAAAGGTGTGTGAGTTGCAGTCTAGCCACTTTGGGTCTCTTGGTGTTAGTAGAGGTAAATATTACAGAGTGCTGAAATAGTACAACTGTGATCTTGTTGAAGCTTCTTTTCACCTTAAATTCAACAAAATGTATTCAACAAACATATTTAATAAACACCAACAATATTTAACCTCATGCTAAGTTGCTAGGATTATGGAAAAGAATAAGACACCCCATGTAAACAGCACTTAGATCAAGTACAGAATATCACTAGCACTCCAGAGGCCTCCCTATGGTTTCTCCAGTCATTATCCCGCCTTCTTCCCAAAGGTGATGGTATTCTTTTGACTTTTCACACTCTGTGGTAGTTATTGTACCTTTTGTATGTGGGTATGTGTTTTTATTATTATACTTTTTAAAAATAAATGAAATGTATGTGTTCTTTTGTGTCTTTTTGTTCAACACTGTATTTGTGAAATTCATTCATTTTGTTGCATTTTGCAACAGTTTTCATTTTACTTTTTGTGGACATTTCTAGTTTGGAGTTCCATGAATAATGCTGCAATGAATATTCTTGGACATGCCTCTTGGTAAATGTATGTATTCATTTTTTTCTGGGTATGTACCTAAGTAAGGAAACACTGTGCATTAGTGTAAATGTATGCTTAGCTTTAAATACAAACTGCCAATAAGTATTCCAAAGTTTCAGTGTCAATTTATTATCTCACTAGCATGACAGTTTCTGTTGCTCATCTTCTCCAATATTTGGAATTGTCATCTGAAATTGGAGTCATTCTGTTGTGTACCTCATATGGTTTTAATTTGCTTTTTCCTGGTGACCAAGGAGGTCAAGACCTTTTCTTATAATTTTTGGTCATTTAGTTACATTCTCTTGTGAAGTTCATAATTGCATTTCTTGCAATTTTGCTATTGAGTTGTCAGATCTTATTGCTTTATAAAAACTATTTAAATACTTTTCACAAACTCTTTGTTGGATATACATATTGCAAATGCCACACTCTTTTACTCTCTTAGTAATTTTTTGATGAACCAAAATTTCTAATTTTAATGTGATCCTCTTTATCAGTCTTTTCCTTGATGATTTTTGCATCTGATTTAAGAAATATATTCTTTATCCCAATGTCGTGAAGATTTTCTCCTATGTTATTTTCTAGTTCCTTGATTATTTTACCTTAGACATTTACCTTTCAAATCCACCATTGTATTTTTTTTGTGAGTTGGGTAAGGTAGGAGTTTTCATTTTTGTTTTCCAATTAGCTTTCATATTTATCGTCAAAACCATCTTTGCCCCCAGCCCTGTTATATTACGTGTTTCATGAATTATGGCTTCATGTAACAACATTGACAAACATCAGAAATACACTTTTAAGCTGAAAAAAGCAAGAACATAAAGTGTATGAGTTTATTTAAATATAGATTAAAACTTGCTATGAACAAGTTATAAACAGTAACTCAATGGAGGTCATAAATTTGATGAACCTATAAAGACAGTGGAGGTAGTAATAAAATCTTCAGGATGTGGTTAACTCAGCAGGGGAGAGAAAGGGTAGTATTTTAAAGGACACCTAGAAGACTTTACAGGCTCTTGTAAATGTTACACTTTTAATTTTTTTGCATCTATTCAGTTTTTAAGAAAAAAATTTAATAATGATTGGCAAATTGCCCAAGGACAACCATACAATTTTAGTTTTAGCTATTCTTCTGGATTCTAAGTCCCTCTTCACCCCTCTTCATCCTCTACTCTTTGGGATTCTCCTTAGTTTCTTGTAGCTTAGCTATACATTAAAGTTGTTCTACTTCACCCAGAATTCCTCAATTTTCTGTTGGGGGATTTTCAAGACATTTATTTTCCACATTGCAGGAAACTAAAGTTGTTCACTCCTCACTTCCACCTCTCTCAGCGGCAGGCTCCATCCCACCAAAACTGCTCTTGTCAAATATAAAATGTTTCCCATGTTAGGCAATCCTCAAAACACTGTCTTTCTCTACTCGAGTCACTCAATTAAATACTCTACTTAGTTCAGTCCATACAATTGACAACTCCATGTATCTTGGTATATTTTCCTTTCTTTGCTGCTATTTAACCATGATCTCTGAAGTCTTACTACCTCACTGGATTCCTTTTCTCAACCTTGTTCCCTGGTTCCTTTTCTCTTTTCTACATTCACTTTATTCCTATACCATCTCATCAGTACCATGGCTTTAACTTGCCCAATAACTCCCAAATTTGTCTCCAGCCCTGGTCTCACATTTTAAGACCAGATTTCTATATCCAGCTGATTACTTGAAACTCCTGTTTGGATGGATGTCAGCTTAGCAGGTACTGCTATCTTTCAAATCATTTCAATATCCATAGTGATCTTGGCATGTCATCCATCATGTCCATGTTTCCGGAAGGAAAATAGGGGAAAGATAATAGGCTGAAAAGGGTCCATCACTCCACTGAAGACAACTTTTCCAGAAGTTCACACAAGATTCCCAATGATAGCTCACTGGTCTGAATCCAGCCAATGAACCCATGCTTAGCTGCAAGGAAGGGAACACAAAAATGGATTTTTAGCTGTACCTATTTTCACATTTAATAAAATCTGAATTGTGTTACCAAGAAAGAAGGGGAAAATTGATACTGTGTGGCAAGTAGAGGTCTTTTCCACAGTTTCTACTTAGTCTTTGCCATCTCAGTAAATAGAACTATTGTCTACCTAATGGTGCAAATAAAAATCCTAGGGTCATTCCTGGTTCCTTCCCATATCCAATCTATCAGCCAGTTCTCTTAGTTCCATTTCCAAAATACATCTTGAATGTATCATCTTTTCTTCTTGTTCCCTTAATATAAACCATAGTCATCTCTTGGCTAGAGTATTTTTGCAGTGACCTCCTATGTGGTCCCTTTTCTTCCAATTTTGATCACCTAGCATCCTTATAGCAGCCACTGTGGTTTGATCTGGTTTTGCCTCATATTTTGTTTGTTTTTCCAATAAAGCCACATCAGCTCCCTACCTAAGAGCTCACAGTGACTTCCTATTTTACATAAAATAAAAACCCAGCATCTCAACAATGACTTGCATGGTCATCTAATACATCTTTCTTACCCTCTGCTCACCTTGTCTAGCCACAAAAAGCTTTATACACATCAAGTTCTTTCCACTTTAGGACCTTTGTGCCAGCTCGCTCCAGCTGTTTTAGGGTTTGTTCATTGTTTTCTAAGTAGTGTGTTTCCCACCGCTGGAAACACGCTCCACAAAGGCAGCTGCTTGTCGGTCCTCTTCACCCATTTCACCCATATCTGGAGCAGGATGTGCCTAAGTCCTAGTAGTGCTCAGTATTGTTGAATGAACAAATACATCTCTTATTCTGAAGCTATAAAAATTTTTATTTCTTATGACTTGTGCTGTATTATTCTATGCTTATGTATTCTAAATATTCTGAATATTCTATAGCAAATGGATTACTTTTGAATGTAAAAAAGGTTTTAGTGACAATAATTTCTAGTGTATAGTAAGTCTGAAATTAACTAATTACTTAAAGTTTACTAATATTTTGCAAGCAGCTCTTATAATATGTCAGAAACAGAATAGAAACATCAGGTAATGAACAAGTCAGGAACTCATTATAATCTCGAGGAGCTTACACTTCAGAAATGGAAACTAGGAAAAAAAAGCATAGCTATTTGTATCCTCACTCGGATTTGGTAAGACTCTGGGAACAAACATACATAAATTAGATGTGGTTACTACTACATAATCCCCCCACCTCATGCAGCTAGTACACTGTACTATGTAAACATGCCTTCCCATGTCTTTATAAAGACAAACTCAAGTAATTGCTTTTTCTTAGAACAAAAAGTTTCTTCTGTCTTGATTCACGTTTTTGTCATGTAGTCCAAAAGCAAATCAAAAACAAAAATAACAAATCCAACAACAAACAAAACATAATTAACAAAGAAAACCACCACCCTCTAAAGCAAGTTTCCCTGAGTATCTGCCATTGCTGTCCAGGTGCTGGCAAGTTCTTTTCCAGCACTTGGCCTAACACAGAGATGCTACTTAGCCTACTTCAGAGAAAGTGAGCAGAGTATTTGATATATGCTGGAGTAATCTGCTGTTTTACAGGATAGCAGTCTCAGAGTAAGGAACCATAAGAAAATCAAAGTAAGAACACTTAAGGGCTTCCAAAGAGCTCTAGAGATAAAGCATAAGTGAGTTAAAAAGGGAAACATTTAATAGCTTTAGTTTATCTTAAAGAATAAATGCCTCATGACATTGCAAGATATTCAGTAAGCTGTTTATTTATAAGAACCAAGATTAATATTGTATTAAGTATTGCAAAATTTAATAATGTTATGGTGCTATTTTAAATTCACTTTGATGATTCCTTTATCTTTTATTTTCCTAGTTATTTCATGAGAGGTATTTGTAACTATAGTTTTATTAATATGAAGCATCCTCAGAATTCTAGATATAAACTACTTAATAATAATAATGGATAACATTTATTGTGCAAACCCTGTACTGTGCAAAGATTAAAAGATACTTAATATCTTATTTTTCCCCATATCCTTTATGAAGCCTAATTCTGGCTGGGTGCATCTTAAGTATTTAATACACATTTGTTTATTTTACTATAATGTTGAGAAAATACAGGGAATTATATATCAAAATATTATTCTCAACTCTATCACTTATTAAATGGAATACCCTGGCTGGTCTTCATAGGCTACATAACTGCTAAGGTTTCCCTTGGCTGTAAAGTCTTTAGCTTTTTTACTTGTTCTTTTTCTGATTTCTCTTTCCTTCCTTCGACCTACTTTCCTCTCTCCCTCCATCCTCTCTTCCTTTCTGCATCAATGAGCATACTTTCCATTTTTAAATATATTCATCCATTCAACAGTTTTTGTTGAATGCCTACTGAGAAAGCACCAGCCATTTGTCCTCTTACTGGGATTCAGCAGTGAACAGATAAGAACTGAGCAGTGAACAACAGTCTGCATTCTCATGGAGTTTAGGGTTTGCAGTCCCTTGAAGGAAGACTCTACATGATTCGTTCAGGTGTTCTTCCATGGCGCTGGAAGAGGGTGTTTATTTTCTTGAGAATTTAAGGCAAAAACATTAATGTAAAACAAAGAATGAAAGAATAAACAAATGAAATGAATTTTTTTACTTTTTCAAGTTTGAAAAAGCAGTCCATTTCTTGATGAATTATACTTAAAGGAATGCGGGTGGCCTGAGAGAGATTGAGCTGAGGAGGCTTGAGTGAACCAAATAAGGTAAGTAATTATTGGTGGTTTCTGTTTTTTAAGTGTTCATCTTCCATAGAAATTTCATTTTCACAAGTTATACATCATTGTCCCAAAACAATCATCATTGCTCTGAATTCAGACCTTCATCATCAGCTGACAAACACTTCAAGCAATCATAAAAAGAAACTGTTCCTAGGCTATCGTTAAATTTCAGCCAACATCACCATTTATATACCAGTTCTTGTAATTACTACAATACATTATAGCATTTGTCCTTATTGCTTTATGAAAAATATGAAAACTGAAAAACATAATTTGCAGACTCAGCTGACAAGAAGTATAACTCTCATAATCTTACTATGTTTTAGATAACAGTGGAAAATGTTTAATGTTCTAAAAAATCATATCATAACCAAACTGTCATTAGATTTAAGCAGTTCTACTATGCATTTGATTGTCAAAACAAAAATCCAAATGAAAGGACATGTATTCAATGTTGGAATTTCATCATTGAATATTAGGGCTAACAAAAAAAGAGAAATCATTTTTTTGTTCCTTTATCTGGGAAAAGGAACTTTTCCTATATTTGACTACTGTATGTGAGACTTTCACAGATATTTTCAGAAATGTATTAAATATGATAGTAGATCCATTAAGGAGGGTATCTGGTAGCCAGTTGGTGGTGGTGGTATTCTCATTCCTAACCAAGTGTCCCTCCTCTTTATTTCTCCCTTTCTTTTCCTTTTCTTTTTCTGTGACCTTAACTATTGCTATGTGCATATTCTTTGCTTATACGCCAGGCCTGCTAGTGACACCTAAAGATACCCACAGGCATTGCACACCTCAGAATAGAGCTAGAGAAGCTATAATGGGTTGACTTCTATTGTGAATTTTAAATATTTGGAGATTCTGGAGCCTATATGCCTTTTATTCCATTTCTTAGAATGCTCCAGAGAGTTTGAGGAGATCTGTTAACCTTAGAAATGTGTGACTAGCATAGCATGGCATAGTGGAAAATGTGCATGTGTGCTTTCATTGGATTAAAAACTTGGCTTTGTCATTGATCAGCTACGTAACCTTGAGCTAGTTACTGATCCACAGGCAAAGTCAATTTCTTCATTTATTCAAATACTAATTTATTATTCAAACACTGATCACTTGATATTATTGTGAAGATTACACATATGTACATAAAGCATCTGCCATATAGTAGGCATTCTGTAAATGTTATTGTGGTTGTTATGATGTTAATTATACTGATTGTTTTTTCTATTATATTGGAGCAAATTACTGTTATGTTTAAAATATGAATACAGCTTAATGAATGTAAAGTTTCTCCCTTTAAAAAATCCTTAAAAGTTAAAAGCAAAATTGACTGCCTTTCCATATTTTTATCTGATCCTTAATCAAGTGTTAATTCCTAACTGTTCAACAATGGAGTCTTGGGAATCAGTTGCAAACACTAAAATAATTAAGACATGAATAACTTATATATGGTAAAGCAGGTATCTTTCTAAAAATAAGACAATTAATGAGATATTTGTAGATTTTTTTGTAACACAAAGATACCAAAATGCTGCTGAATCAAAACCACTCTCATTATCTTTCCTTAGAGAAGCAAGATAACTCCACAGAAAGAGTGGAATTCATAGAATTTATATATGAATGTGAAGCAACAATAAGTACTGAATGTCTGCTTCTTTCATTTATCTAGCACTATACAGGACTTTAAATACTCTAGGAAGCACACAGAGTAACCATTAAAAATATCAAGAACAAACAGCCAAGAGAAGAATGTGACTCATTTTGTTTCTTTTAATATACTTACCGCTTTCTTCAGTATATTTCGTGTTTTCCCAAAATTGTATTTTCCTTCTCTGTCCTGGATAGTGACTCCTTTTTCCAACAACTCAGAACTTCTCTCCTCTCTTTCTTGTCATCCTCCCTCATGATTCTTTTCATTTGTAGTCCATCTGCTGATTCTATGCTGTAAGATACAAAGACATTTCAAGAACATCCTTGAGCTTAGTATCAACATTACTGAACAGATAATACGTGAGCTCTGGAAAGCAAATCATGGGCATGCAAACTGTTGGTCATTTAAAAAGCAAAAGCAGATAGAGGGATCACATTCTGCACTAGGGTTTCTCCAATAAATGAGATAGATGGGTTAGGTCCTCAATAACAGACAGCATAAGAAGTGAAGACACAATAAACGGTTGGCTGTATATTTTGGGTAAAGTTAATGGCATGAGCAAATAAATGGAGACAGAAAAATTACAGGTTTTTGCACAAAATATAAGTAATCAAGTTTCAGGCCTTCTGAGAGAAGAGCCTCAAAACGTCGGTGGTACTAAGGATAGCTCTGAATGACAGTCTAAGGAGGCTGAACTCTAGTGAAGGTTTCTGAGAAGGGAAAAAGCATAACATCTCCAAGAAATTATTCTAGCAACAGAGTGGGGAAGAAGGATCATAGGCAAAAATGTAACTTATTAATGCTTAAGAACAAGCCAGGCCCAAGATTTTAGGTGCCTGAAATAGGAAATTTGTAAAATAGGGAATACTGGTAATAGTAGAACAGAAAGAAGAGGAAATAAAAAATATGAGGTCAGAAACACAAAAACTTCTCAAACTAGAGAGCCTTGGGGAATGGCATTGACATTAATAGAAACAATCAGAAGGAGGAACCAGGGGTGGGAAAGGAAGATGAGTGCAGTGTGAGGCAGAAACTCTACTGATTAACTACCCATTCTCCCCTTCTCCCAGCCCCTAGTAACCTCTGACCTACTTTCTTCATCTATAAATTTGCCTATTCTGGATATTTCATATCAATAGAATCATATAATCATATAATAGTTTTTTTTATTTTATTGTGTTAAGGACACTTAACATGAGATCTGTCCAATTAAGAAATTTTTAAGTGTGCAATTTAGTATTGTTGACTGTAGATGCATTGTTCTGCAACAGAACTGTAGAGCTTATTCATCATATTCTACTGAAGCTTCTGCCTGCTGGTGAATGACCACCATTTCTCCCTCCCCCAGCCCCTGTAAGCAGTCTTCAGGTTTACAAATTGGACTATGTCAGATGCCTCATGTAAGTGGAATCATGCAGGACTTACATGCCCTATGGCTCCTCTGTTTTTCCAAGGAAAGGTAATAATGAAGCAAAGGGGAGGAGAACATTTTGGTTAAACTTAAGGTGAGGATCCTTATCCAGGCATTTAATATCACTGATAGAAAATAATATTGTATCTCTAGTTCCTTTAGTGCTTACAACATGCCACCATATAATTTCATTTTTATGACTTCCTATGAGATGGGGCAGGAATTATTATCTACGTATCACAGAGGAAGTGATGCTCAGAGGTGGCTTGCTCCAGAACACATAACTAGTAAGTTACACATAGGCCCCAGGTCTTTTGATTCAAACTAGAAATGTAAGAAACAAACTAACAGTAAAAGCAAGGAAATAAATAATCACTATCAGTAATTTATAAATATCAATGATTGGGATAAAAAATGTGGACTTCAATGTTTCTGTCTTCAAGCAAGACAAAATTTTCATATAAAACAGTGAAATATTGTGAAGTAAAGAAGTAAAAATTAATTTATCTTATGGGTCGTTAACTATGCCTTAATAACATTATGATGTTGACTTGGGAGAATAGTTAGAAATTATCTACATCTGAAGATAGCCGAAATTGTAGCTGATCATGGAATGAGCCAGAATTTACCAACATTGCAAAAATACAGATGCCTTCCCAAGGTCCTGTAAATAATGAAAAAAAGTGAATAATGTCACAAAGAAAAAAATACATAAAATAATTGAAAGATTATGTTGTTTTCAAATGTTTGATGAGTATGTGAGGAGAAATTGGGTCCTAAATATGTTTTCTCACAAAATTTAAAGAAATTTCAACAAGAAGTCTAAGTCACCAAGAGGACATGATTGGCCATGTTACCCATGTAATTGAATGTCTTAAAATTTTGTTTTTTAATGAATCTTTAAGATAGAGTGTTTTTAACACTTACACTTAGTGATTTCAATAAATTATTCATTGTAATAGAGAAAAGTAAATTTGAATGGAATGGTACATCAAATTCTTTGATATTTGTGATTCCACATTTGTGGGAAGCCTAATGAGATTCAAAAGCTGGAAGTCGTGCGCGGGCCTTTTGGTGTGTCCGGGGCCTGTACTCTCTGATTTTAAAGAAGTCTGGAATGATGCAGCCTCAGCGTGTGTCTTCTAAAACTCAGTAACTCTGTCAGGACTTCATGTAACATACTGAAGGATGTACTTCAGACAGAGGTTCATACTTAAGCATTTAAAAATGAGTCAATAAGAAAATATTTTCAGGAAATGGCTGATTCGCTTTGTAGGAAGTTCTGCCAGAATATGTGCATACATTTTATATATGTATGTATAAAATGAGTTGTTCAAAGAGACATCCTATTATCCCACTGGTTTATTCTGTGACCTTAACAGATTACCGTGTTGTTTTTTTGTTTGTTTGTTTTTCACGGCACCCTCTATTAGCAGCTATGTCCATTGGAAGTAGTCTCCAAAATATCAGTGAGACAATGCCCAGTAGTTGGGACAAAAGGGTAGGAGTGGTAAGGGTGGGGATAGTATGTAAGGAAAGCAAGGCTAATTAATAAATTCCAGTCTTACTACTTCTTATCTAGTCTTTTTCTTTTCTCTCAGTCCACCTGGGAACTTGGGAGGAGTGGATTTTGGTAGATTGGAAAACTTAAAAGCAAGCTCCAATAAAGAAGAAACTCTGTGTTAAGTTTATCGATGTGGCCTCAGAACTTAGAACAGACCCTTAGGATATTATTATTCACTAAATCAAAGCTATTTATTGAGTTCATGGTATGTTAAGGAAATGAAAATACCTATTAAACAAAACATATAACATTCCTTGTCCTTTGGAAATTTTTTTTCAGTAGGGGATGAGAAAATATAAGCAAAATAAAGCATTTAGAATTATAAAGATGATGTGTTATGGAAACATAGCAGAAATATTGGGAGCATAGAAATGATGGGGCAGCTAAGATTTTTAATGAGGCGGCCAGGGCAGGCCTCACTGAGGTGATATGTGAGCAGAGACTTGAAGAAATGAGGGTGTGAACTACATATATGTCTGGGAAAAGCATATTCCAGGCGGAGGAAATCACAGGTGAAAAGATCGTAAGGTGGGGACAAGGATAGTGTTTTAGAGGAACAGTAAGTGGCCTATGTAGCTGGGGCAAGAGAGAAGTGTTTGTTTAAATAGGTCACATTAGGAGGAGCACATGGGGTAGGCTGTGGAGGCTACCCAAAGAGTTGAGTAAAATGGGAAGAACAGGGAGTGTTGGATTTTAAGCAGAGGAGAAAAACAAGCTGATTCATGTTTTAAATAGATCACTTTGGCAGCTGTACTGAGAGCAGGTAGAGGTAAGGATAGAAGCAGGGAAGCCTCTGGAAAGACAACTGGAATGATGCAGGTGGGAGATGGTCATGCCTTAGATCAGGTTGGGAAAGCACTGAGTGCTACAAATCACATTTGAGGATGTTTTGTGCCTGGCACTGTTTCCAAGGCCTTTAAGTAGTCACAGGCCCTCCTCACTAACAAAATATGGTAAGCCAACAATGCCTCCTTCCAAAGATATCTACATCTTAGTCACGGAACCTGTGAATATGATACTTCATGTGGTAAAAGGGAGTTTGTAGATGTAATTAACTGAAGTCATCTGGAGATGGGGAGATTCTCCAGGATTATTCCAGACCCCTGTAACCCCAAAGGTTGTGATAGGCAGGAGAAGAGAAAGTCAGTCAGTGGTAGGAGGTGTGAAGGTGGGAGCAAATGGCTGTAGTGATGCAAGGAAAGGGTCAAGAGCCAACAAGTGCAGGAGCCTCCAAAAGCTGAAAAAGGTAAAGGAAAGGCCTCTCCCCAGAAAGAATGTAGCCCACCGACATTCTGATTTCTCCCAGTGAAATCCATTTTAGACTTCTGACCTCTAGATCTATAAAGCAAAAAATTTGCATTGTTTTAAGCCACCAAATTGGTAGTGATTTTTTGTACTAGCAATAGGAAACCAATACAGAAAATAAAATTTTCCAAATAAATGCATAATAAACTTAGAACTCCACTATAATTTACTTAACCATTTCTGAATTGTTCAAATTTTAGATTGTTTCCAGCTTTTCCTATTATAAATAACGCTGAAGAAAATATCCTTATGAATAAATCTTGGCATGCACTTTTGATAATTTTCTTAGCTTTTGAGATGGGATGACTGCTATAGTGATTCTTTATATTTTAAAATATGAAGAAATTAGAATTATACAACAAACATAATATTCACATACCAAGATTAACTTTAATATTTATGCTTTTTATAAAATATATATATGTAAGTGGTAGAGGTTAAGTACCCTTCAATTTCTTTTGCCATCCTGCTTCCCTACCACCATTTCTTCCATGACTGACAAATGTGAAATTACCCACGAATGTGTAGACCATCCATATGCATGGGCTTTGTTAATCTTCTCTGTGATGTTCCAATTTTAGTATACATATTGACAAAGTAAGCTCCAGCATTTTCTTTAATCTTAAAAAAAAAACTTGAAACATAGCCAGTGTTATAAATTACAGCTTCTTTACTGCCATAACTCATTTAGACTCAAAAATATGAATCTTCATAGAAAAGAAAAGGCTACTATAAGCATTAAGAGAAAGAGGAGAAAGAAAAAGTCTGAACGGAATAATGAAGTAATTATAGATAATTTTTCTAAATATGCATTTAAATTTTTTTATCTTTATCTCACATCCAAAGTATTAAAATAAAGTTAAACATATTAAATCTCCAAATTATGTGCTTAGAAGCCATTACTAATTTTGTCACAGTTCCCAAATTAGTCAGATTGGCCTGTGTTCTGAACTGGGAAGAAAAGGATATTGTTTCCTTTACTGTAACTCTACTGTTTTATTAGGGTGTCACAGTGGCTACTATGCAATCTAGTTTGAGAATAGGTCTCTTTGTCAAACTTGGGCATAATTTGGGCAAACCCTCTTAAGCAGAACACAACTCAGTTACGAGGATGAAGATTCATTCCTATAGTAGGATATCACAAAACTAAATTTGAATTAATTGACTCACCAGATAAAAATGTTTCAAATACAAGTTTTTTTTAAATAGCTTTCACAGTCCAAATTGTATACAAGATATTATTAGTTTTTATTGAAACAGTCATTTTTATTCATTTGGAAGAACAATTATTTTACCCTGGTCAATCTAAATATTCTAACTCTTAAATTTTTAGGTAATACAATTTATATAAGAATCACAAGTTATGAATTACTACCATTAAAATGGTACAGACTTTGAAATAATTCCTACAAAATATCAAATAAGCAAAAATCTGTAAGGCTAAAAACTGGTATTTGTGTAATACTTTATAAACACAGACTATTTTGTTTCTTACATTTCACAAGAAAACTGATAGTTAATAATCTTCTTGTATAAAGCTACAAATAATATGGTTTATTATTTCACTGAAAAAAATTTTTTAAGTAAAAATTAATATTAATTAAATAAGAGATCTGTCTGTATATTTTATACACATGCATGTATACACATAATGAGGTTGTATTTGTAATTAAAGCGCTAGTCTTTTTCCTAGATAAAAATAATATCCATTTTAAAATAATAATATATGAATAACAGTATGGGTTGCCCTATATAGATATTTTTTACTTATTTGGATGAATGAAACAAGGAGGAAGAAAATATCCACAAAAATCTCTAGAAAGTCCTAAAAGTGAAACTATTTTAGAATCAAAAGGATTTAAGCTCTAACTGATAATATATAAACTCATAACCAGGGAGGAGCTACTTAATGAGATAGGTTTGTCTTCAACTCAGCTAATACTTTCTAAATTGTGAATTGCAACACTTCATTATATAAGTGGATTTAATCTTATAGGAATTTGCTTTATACTAAATTTTTAATTTATGACTCTTGATTTCTAATCTGACTAATAAAACTGACGACAGAAATTTAGATGCTAGCAAAGGTCTTTTTTTAATATCATGTATTATTATTTTATAAAGGTACCTTTTTTTCTTTTAAGCTTACTCTCATATACTAAGAAGAGTTGAGAGAGAGCAAAAAAGCATGCATTTATATATATTTTGCATGACATATATTTTGTTATGCTTTTACTCTAGGACAATGTTCCCCAACATTGTTGTTGGGATGACTTGCATCATTTAATCACTTAAAGAAGCTTGTTAAAAAATAAGTTTCCCACGTTCCACCCCAACTCAGACTCTACAGATCAAATCACTGGCAGGGGTGTGGATTAGAAATATATATACCAAACAAACATAATTGACATTAGTGATGGAGCTAGTTCAAAATGGGATCTTAAAGCAATCCTGCTCTAGTGGTTAGTGTCACATTTTTCTAAGTTTTGTTCTATAGATCTTTAAGGTACACTCTATGTACCAGATGTGTTTCTATCATTTTGTGAGGCTTATTTTTAAACTGATGATCAATAATTTGTGAAACTGCCATAATGATGGCAGTGAGTATAGATTTTTGAATGTCACTGAAAGAGCCCAATTCCTGCTTTTGATTATAGGCCATTCAGAGCTACTCAGATGCTGACTGGTATATATACTTGAGTGACAACCATGGGTTAGTCATTATACAATACTGATATTACTTTCTGCTTTACTTCATGTCATCCTTTGATAAACATAAGATCCCAACTCCTTTCTTGGGGAAGTTCCAATCATGT